GTTTGGCGTTCTCGCCTTCTCGCTTCCGATGGCCATCCGCCAAATGCTACGAGCTAAGAATGGCGACCTGGTGCACGTTTGCGGACGGTCACTCATCCTGGTACCTCTCGTAGTGGCAGCATGTCGGCGGCGTCCTTCGTGGTCTCTTTGCTCCACGTAACCTGGCCAGTTTCCTCACATTAACAGCAAGATGTGGAATGGTGTGTGCGGAGAGCGCGAAATCTAGCGCTGCCAGTGTCCTTCAAGCGTCTGCCCACTGCATGTCATTGTTAAGCAGCTGGGTAACAACCACGCCCATCAGGGGTGTCATTCCCTAAACATTTTCTGCGTATTACTCCAGTACTTCTTCGTTGCGTGCATGTTGCGTTACTGCGTATTCGAGGGGCGCTTCGTTGATGACTGCTCTTCTACGTGTTCTTCATCGTGTATGCGGTCATCGTGGTGCGCTTCATTGCGGCGGCTGTCTTAGTGGAGTGTTCTAACGTCGGGTGTTTCCTTGCGGTGGACGTCTTCGTGGAACGCTCCGTCATGGAGCGCTTCATTGCGGAAATGGTCGTTGTGGAATGCCTCATCACAGAGACCATGTTGTTCACCTGCGCAGTCGTGCTGTGCTTCCTGGAGGGCGCCTCTTCGCGCAGTGCCCCCTCATGAAGCGCTTCTTTGCGCAAAGTATCGTCGCGGAAACCGTCTCCGCAAAGGGCTCAATCCGGCGTTGCTTCGTCATGGAGGTGGTCTTCGTTGGGTCCTCTACCACGGCAAGGGCTACTTTGGAATTTGTCGTCGTAGCGCGCTTCAACGCGTGATCCCTGATCGTGGGAGCCTCATTGTGGGGGGGCGTCGTCACGGCCGTTGTGTTCCTGGAGTGCACCATATCCTTGGAGCGTTTCGCCGTTGAAGTGTCCTTGTCGTTGCAGCCATATCCGGAGAGCGCTTCATTTAGAAGGTCGCCTTCCTGGAGGGAGACGTCATTTTGGTGTGCTTCACGGCAGGTGCTCCTTAGTGGGATTGTCTCATTATGGGGCACGGCCTTGTGGACTGCTTAATCGTGGAGAATCCCGAAAATGAAGGGGTCGGCGGATGTGGCGCAACCCTGAAGAATCCACGTCCGGAAGTGACGTGTTGCCGGAGGCTGGTCGCGCAGCGGAGCGGAAGCCCTAATGCAATGGATCCAATGTGTCCAATGCTTGCATAATTGCCACGTTTTGCATTGTGTTACATTATAATGTCTCCTTCTAATCCCCCCCCCAGCGCCGCGCCACATCCGTCGACCAAAGATGGTGAACCCCTTCTGGGGCCCAAAAACCTACAACAACATATAAGAAATCAACAAATTCTGCCTCTTGGGCCTCTTGGGGTCCCAAGAAGGTTTCAAAACGGCCCAAGATGGCCCCAAGACGGCCCAAGACGGCCTCAAGACGGCCCAAAATGGCCCCAAGAGGGCCCATGAGGCCCCGCAGAAGGTCCAAGAGGCCCCCAAGAAGACTCCCGAGAGCGCCTCCGGAGGCCAAACTCTTTGATTTCCTATAGTTCTGGGACAAGTTCAACGTTCTCGCCATTTTCGGCTCTCAGAAGGCCATGACGGCCCAAGCAGCCTGCAAGAAGGCCCCCAAACGGCCCAAGAGGCCTCCAAGGGGGCCCCAAGACGGCCCAAGAGGGCCCGAGACGGCCGAAAAAACCTCCAAGACGGCTCAAGAAACTCCCAAGACGGCCCCAGAGGACCCCAAGAGAGCCCCAAGGCGGCCGCGAGAGGCTTCCAAAGTGGCCTCCGAAGTGGCCAGACGGCGTAAGAGCGCCCAAAGACGGCCCAAAACGTCTCCAAGAGGCCCCAAGAGGCTCCAAAGAGGCCCTCCACAGGCTCAAAAAAAAAACCTAAGAAGCTTCCAGGAAGCTCCCAAGAGACTCCCAGGAGGCCCCACAACGACTGACTGAACGTGCACAATAATATCCCGCCCTGGGCGAACCGCGGCGCAGCGCCAGCCAGATGGAAGTTGGTCACGGCGGCATCCGTGATCAGAGCCAGCGCTGGAATAGAAAGATCCACGTCCGGAGGTGACGTGCTGAGCAGCAGCGTTATCCGGCGAACGCCTTAATGCAACGTGTCCAATGTATCCGATGATTGCATACGTGCTACATGCTGCAACGTGTTACATTATAATGTCTCCCCCAAACCCCCCCGAGGGGCCACGCCACATTCACCGACGATGTTCGCGTTCTCGTTTTTTTTGTTTTTGTTTCTCTCGACTCCCGACGACCCAAGCAGCCTCCCAAATCGCCCCATGACGGCCCCAGAAACGCCCGAGAGGACCCCACGACGGCCCCAGAGGGCCCCAAGACGGCCCAAAGAGGTCCCCAAGACGGCCCAAAGGCCCCCGAAACGGTCCAAGAGGACCCCAAGAGAGCCCCCACGCGGCCGCGAGAGGCCTCCAATACGGCCTCCGCAAAGACCAAACGGCGCAACAGCGCCCAATACGGCTCGAGACGCCCCGAAACCCCAAAGAAGTCCCCAAGAGACCCCCGAGAACCCCCAAAACGACTTGAGTGTACGTGCTCCGGACGTGCGCCCCGCGAAGTGAGAGGAGTAAACGGTTCCACGTCCGGAGGTGACGTGCTGAGCGGCAGCGTTTTCTGCGGAGGCGATAATGCAACGTACCCAATTTATCAAATTGTTGCATAATTGCCACGTGCCGTATTGCATTACATCATCATGTCTCCCCCCCCCACCCCACCCCCAGGGGCTACATCCGTGGACCCAAGGTGGATACCCCAATTTGGGGCTCAAAAACGTACCAAAACCTATGCACAATCTATGATGTCGACCTTTTGGGCCTCTTGGGGGGCCACGAGGGCGCCAAGACGGTTCAAGATGCAAGAGGGCCCCAGGAGCGCCCACAACTGCGCCTCCAGAAGCCAAAACCATGTCCTATGGTTTTGGCGATATTCCAGCGTTCCCGCCTTTGCGGCCCAAACAGCTTCCAAAATCGCGCCAGAACAGCCCAAGAAGTCCCCAAGAGGGCCCCAAAACGGCCCAAGAAGGCCCCAAGACGGCCCAAAGAGGCCCCCAAGACGGTCCAAGAGGCCCCTAAGACGGCCCAAGAGGACCCCAAGAGGCCTCCAAGGCGGCCGCGAGAGGCCCCCAAGACGGCCTCCGAAGGGGCGACACAGCAGAAAAAACGCCCCAAGACGGCCCAGGACGCCCCCAAGAGGCCCCAAGAGGCCCCCAAGAGGCCGCCAAGGGGCCCCAAGAAGCCTCCAAGAGGCCCCCAAGAAGTCTCCAAGAAGCATCCAAAAGGCCCCATAGAAGCCCCCCAAAACCCACACAGCGACTGGAGTGTGCTGTCATTTTTCCCCCCTAGGCGACTTGCGGCGCAGCGCCAGCCAGGTGGAAGTTGGTCACGGCGGCGCCCATGATTAGAGCTGGCGCTGGAAGGGGATATGGGGAGGGAGTATGAAAAAGGAGGGAGGGGGCAGAGGCCCCAAAGACGCCCCCAAGAGGCTCAAAGAAGCTCCCAAGAGGCCTCCAGGAGACCCCCAAGAGGCTCCCAAGAGGCCCCGCGACGACGTGACCAAGACGGTACAGGATGGCCCCAAGAGGGCCCCCCAAAAAACCCAGACGCCCCAAGAGGGCGCCAAGAGGACCTCCAAGAGCGCTTCCAGAAACAAGCATCATTGATTTCCAATTGAGTTTTGAAAGATTTTGGCGTTCTCGCCTTTGTCGACTCCCCGAGCCCCAGGACGGCCCAAGAAGCCTCCGAAATGGCTCCAAGACGGTCCAATAAGCCCTCAAGAGAGCCCTCAAGAGGGCCCGCAGGCGGCCGAAGAGGGCTCAAGCCGGCCCAAAGAGACCCTCCAAACGCCTCTTTGTACGACCTCACTGTACGTACTCCGGACGTGCACCCCGCGAAGCGAGAGTAATCATTTGAGACATCGCAACTCCCAGTGGGGCTGCGAACTGCGCAACCATTGCCACTTTCGTGGGCTCGTGAGAGGCACGGCGGAGTCGCGGAGTAAACGAATCCAACCGAGACCTCGCAGCTCCTTGGGTGGCTGCGAACTGCGCAACCGTTGCCACTTTCGTGGTCTCCTGGGGGGTCCGGCGGGGACTGGGGCCACGCGCACCCAGACGAGACCTCGCTACTCATTTGGCAGCTGAGAGTTGCGCAACTGTTGCCACTTACATGGGCTCCTGGGAGGTTCAGCGGAGTCAGGGGCCACGCGCACCCAGACGAGACCTCGCTGCTCCCTGGGTGGCTGCGAATAGTGCTACTGTCGCCACTTTCATGGGCAACTGGCAGGTCCAGTGGAGTCGGGGACCACGCAGGTCCAGCCGAAACCTCGCTGCTCCCTGGGAGGCTACGACATGCGCAATTGTCGCCACTGTCGTAGGCTCCTGGGAGGCACGGTCACACCCACTCTACCACAAGAGTGCGCCTCCAATAACGGTGCGTGAAAGACACCAGCTAATAAAACTTGGTTCGCGCATAAGAATCACATGTGTTTGCAGACAGCTGTTGTTAGGGGCAAGTGCCTTCTTGACTGCAAGGTGTCTGGTTCGGTGCGGTGCACGGCTGTTTGCCCGAGAGACCTCAGCTCCAAATATAAAGGCGTCTGCGGAAGGAACTCCAATGTGCGCGGAGGAATATGGGATGCGCGTGCAAACACTACGTCGAAAACACTACGTAGCAACCTCTACGTAGTAAAGGCTACGTCGTAACCACTACGTGTTAAACACGATGTGACAAACACTACGTAGAAAGCACCACGTAGTAAACACTACGTAGTATAGGCTACGTCGTAGGCGCTACATCGTAGGCGCCACGCGGTAAACTCTGCGCAGTAGCAGTAAAGCAGTGCGCCGAAAACACTATACGTGGAACACACTGCAGTACGCAGCAAGCGCTGCGTAGAAAACACTACGTCGCGAAAAAGTATTGCGTAGCAAAAGCTGCGTAGAACACACGGCGCACTGTCAAGAGAACCTTGGTGCTGGCGCGCGGGAGCGCCTGGGCCGTACTCGCGCTCCTCGATCCGCAGGGCGCGCTCCAGCAGCTCCCGCTGAGCGCGCGCGCGTCCGCCCGGGGGGTGGGGGGCCCGTGGGGGACCTGGGGCGAGGGCAGTGGACGAGCGCGTTCCACTACTCACAAAGCGACTGCTCGCCAATGGCCTGGATCCGCCGCGGGGGATCTACGATAGATAACTTCGAAGCAGGAAATTCGTTTTCTCTCGGACGTTTGCGGGTAGGCACTTTGCGAGTAGTGGAACGCGCTCTGTGGGGCAGGTGCGACTGCCACCTGTCGGCGGGGCAACGACGGGGCCCGGAGGGAGGGGGCCTCAGGGAAAGGAAAGGATCCCGGGCTGATTCCGCACTGGCCGAGAACCTCTCTTCTCACGAGCGGTGGACACCTCCGTGTCCGCGCCCTCGCGGTCTGGGTTCGGGGGCGGGCGCACTTCCGCGGACACGCGGTCGCACGAATACGTTCCGCGCGGGGCATCCGCAACAAAAGCGCCCCGTGTCCGCGGGGTCACGGCCCGGGAGGCCGCGGATACGGATGTCTTTCGCCCGCGGTCTTCCTTAACACCCCATCCCTCGGGGCCCCATCTTGGAACGGCCCGCGCTGGCGCACGAGGAGCTCGAGGAGGAGCGGCACAGAGCAGAGCGGGCATCGAAGAGTGAGGTTCGAGGGCTCGAACCTCTGGACGCCTCCTTGGGTCGGTGGCGAGGGCTCGCCGTCCGAAGGCCAGCCGCCTCTCGCTTCACCCCTGGGCTCGCCGCCGATTGGGGCATCCCGAAGCAGCCAGAAGACCTCCGGAGGGCTCCCGAGACGAGGAGGCGGGGCAGCCCGTCAGCGGGAGTCGCGACGGCGTCCCCGCGGGAGCCGACGCCGGGAGGCGTGGCGGCAGGAAGGGGGGACACGGCAAGCAGGGAAGAGAGGAAGCCGACCGCGCGCGGAGGAGAACACTTTAAAGGGGCCCTGGGACACACAAACAAACAGACACAAATAACAGGATTCCCTAGATGTTCCAATTCTTTGGGGGTTTTGTCTTCCCCCCACTTCCCATATTTTCCCATATTATCTGGGGACTCGACGACGAATTGTGTCTGTGTGATCTTTGCGCCCCTCCTGAAACTTGTTGGCCCGCGGCGAGGGCGGACGCCGATGCGCTCGATCAGCCGATGCGCGCCGCAGGGCGCACACCGGACGAGTCAACAAAAAACACCGGAGAGCGGCCGCGGAAGGCGGCCGTGCGGCGTGGCGCCTCAGGCGTAGAGTCGTCGTCCTCCTCCTCCTCCTCCTCCTCCTCCTCCTCCTCCTCCTCCTTCTCCTCCTCCTCCTCCTCCTCCTCCTCCTCCTCCTCCTCCTCCTCCTACTCTCTACACCACGAGGAGTGCGCAGGCGGTCCCAGGCACCGAGAAACGGTGTACTGGAAGGTGAGCAATAAGTATCGGCTGCCGAGGGGGACAACAATGTCTCAACTGAGAGGCACGCCGTCGTCCACCAGACAACGGGCGAGACCGGAGTTGGAAGCACGGAGCCAATGAAGGGAGGCAGCTACATCTCGAGCAAGAGGCTGGAAGCTTGCACGGTTGATGTCCAATACTCAGAAGATGAGGGGCTACGATAGGGGGAGACTGGCATAGGGGGGGATGCATCGACCTGGAATCGGCGATACATCGCCGGTAGATGGGCGATAGGCCTCCGATAGTGAATCCGCACCTTCATGGGCAGGCTGGGGCTATCGGGCCCCTATCGGCGATCAGTGGGCGATTGGGGGTCGATGCATCCCCCCCTGTGCCTGTACCCCCCGATCCTTGTCCCTGCGAAGAGGGTGCACCTGCATACATGTCGGAGGCCCGTGCGGACTTGCTGCATCGACGCCAGGCCCACCTCCCCCCGGCGCGCAAACAGCGCACCGGGGGCGCGCCCGAGGCGCCGCCTGCGAGAGGCCCATCGTCGTTACGACCCTCGCGTTGGCTTCGGACACCGCGCAGGTCGCTCAACCTGGACCGACCGGTGGCTCCCTTGGATCGACAGGCCGTCCCTCCTCCTCCTCCTCCTCCTCCTCCTCCTCCTCCTCCTCCTCCTCCCCCTCCTTCTATTCCTCCTCCTCCTCCTCCTCCTCCTCCTCCATCTCGAACGATTCCTGGCCGCTGGCGGCATGCAATCTTGAACGCCCGCGGTGAGGACGCTGCCGCGTCGGCACGACACGAACCCACCACAGCTGAGAGGTACGAACAGAAATCTGGCCAGACAGCTGGGGGCACATCTGCTTGAGATTCCTGAGGTGCTACAAGACCTTGATGGGCCCCCAGGACCATCGGGGAACAGAAAACTTCCTCGATGATCCTCAGAAAGTCACCGCCAACGTGTGCCTGTCCAACGGAGCCTTCAATACGACGCACGGGGTGTGTGATGAGGGCCGACGCAGGCGTCGTGCCATCGGCGGTACCGAACCGGGCAACCTCCCACAGGTTGGGCTAGCAGCGAGCACCTCCTCTGAGCATCGCCGACTTCTGTGGGGCACCTGCGGGCAGGCCTTGCTTCATGCCGTACCTGCCGTGCCTGCTGCAGATCGGCGGCGCGCCCCGGGGGGAAGCAGAGAAGCAGCGGGCCCTCTCGGCAGGCTCGGACGCCCTCGGGCCTCCTGAGAAGCTGCCCGAGCCCTCCCCGAGAGGGAACCGAAAACACCTCTCGGAAGGCGCGGGGGCTGCGAGGGCGCCCCGCCCCCGTCTGCGCGAGGCCCGCTTCCCCCCCGCCCCTCGCTCGCTCGCCGCCGAGCACGGGCACCCAGCCGCCCCCCGGCTCCCGCGCGCGGGCGCGCTGGGGCCCCCCGGAGCGCCGCCGCCCTTTTCCTCCGCTGGGCGGTCCGCGCCCTCGGCGGCGGCCCCGCCCCGGACGCAGAGCTCGGCCGAGCGGCGCTCCACGAGCCCGTACAGCGCCCTGGCCCGGAGGCGGCTGCAAGAGTCGGGGGAGCCCGCAAAAGGACGTGCGCGACCAACCGCGTGCAGGAACGCGCCCCCCCCCAGTCCGCGAGACCAGCCGCGTGACGCGAGCGCTCGCGCAATGCGCACTCTCCAAACCAACGTGGATTCATGTACGTGCACGGTGAGGTCGGGCATGTCCCCCTAAAGGCGGATCGTGGGCGAAAAATGAAAAGTAGCCAAAACATGTTCAAACATCGTCAAACAATTATCAAACATTGTCGTCTCAAGACCTTTTTTGTTGACCATTCTTGAATGTACCTCCTATAGAAGGACAGACCCGACTGGAGTGTACGTCCTTCTTTCGCTCCTGAGAGTTGTCCCCTGGCAGAGCCCAGACATCCAACCTCTCGAGAAACTCCAGGCGGAGTTTCTGTTTCTTCCATTCTCGGACTCGGTGGGCCCTGGCCGGGCCCCGGGACCCTCAAGCAACGACTCAGGATAAATTAGGGAAACGAGCTCTATACACCGACGCTTTTTCCGACCCTGCGCTGAAATTCGCACAAGAACGCGGATCCTGGTGTATACTGGATCCTGGTGTATACATCTTTCGTCGTTTCCCTTGGAAAACGGGGGAGAAGTATACACCACACCACCCCGACGTCGTCCCCGACCCTCGCGAAGTCGTGGGATTGAAGCAAAGCCCGCCACTGGTAATGTATATGTTTCAATTTCTGATTAAGAGCGGGCCCCGGGGAGCAGGCCCAGATCTCTGGGGAGGTCGACGCCGTGAGTATCTCAAGACATCGGGTGTCTGGGAAGGTGTCCACAGCTTCTCGGCCTACAGTCAACCCATATAGTAAGGACGCGCGATAAGGACGCAAGGGTCTTGGAGGGCCATTTCGACGCTTTTCGAGCGGGGCACGGCCAGAGAAAGTGGTCAAGGATGGGCCGAAGGGACAAGGATGCAAGGGTATCCTTGGGAAGTTTGCATATCCTGACTACGCGGGTTGACTGTATGTCGGAGCACATGGGAACCTCTGGGTCTCGCGAGGCTGGATGCCGTTGGAGCCTCCCTCGGAATCCTGGGGACACCTTGGAACTGGGGAGACCCTTGGCAACACCCAGCCTGTTGCTCTCGATGCGCTTCCGGTACTGGTTGTCCTCCTCGCTGGGGGAGACTTCCAACAGCGTCGGCATGCAAGCAGCGGGGTCTTCCGCTGCGACAGAGGCTTCGCACCCCGAATCACTTCCTTATACGGTCCGGGGACCCGAGGGCGGCCCCATAGGAGCCCCACAACGGTGAAGACCTCGGGACCCGTGCCCGTCAGGACCTCTTCCCTTCGTGGCGAGAGCAAGAGCCTTCCGAGTGGGGTCCGGTGAGATGGCGTCGGGGGATCGCGCCGCATCGCCGATGCATCTCTCATGTATCGACGATGCATTGGCGACGAGGGTGATGCACTGGCATAGCAGGCGCGGAGAAGGTCGGGTCCCACATCGAGCCGCGTCGCCAATGCAACGGCAATGCGGCACGACCCACCGACCGCATCTGCTCGGACCCCCCTGCGGGCCCCCGACGAGGACAGCCACCGCGCGTCGGAGGAGCGCCAACGCACGGCACGATGCGCAGCCGAGGCGAAGCTGACCTCCGTCATCGAGCAGGGACCGACCGTCCCGGCATTCCTATAGTCCTACCACGATATGTTCTGAGAACAACAACAATGTGCTTAGAACTGAAGCTTTATGTGTTAAAACGAGACAGCCCCAGGCAGGAATGTTCTAAGAACATTTCGTGGGAACCACAGAAGGTTCTTAGAGCATTGTTTGGTAGGGCTACAGGCGAGCCAAGACGCTTCGCCACTGCTTGACGTCAGGTGGACCCCTCGCGCTCCGGCAGAAGCTCCAGCACTCGGGGGCCGCCTTGGGCCCTCCCTGGGCTGCCCCGGGGACCCGCTCTCTGAGCCTCCCGGAGACGCCCGCAGGGGCCACCTACTCATACGGTCAGCCCCGGCCGGGCCCATCCCCCAGACCCCCTCGGGCAATGAAAAAATCATGACGGGAATTTTTTGTTGCTATTTTCGGCCTCTGGGGGCGCTTCCCGGCCCTCGGGACCGTCAAGAAACGACTCAGGATGAAAAACCGGTCCAGGGGAATGGGTCGAGACCTCCAGGGGTCGACGTAATGAAGAAATCATGACGTCGGGGGTCTGGGCCTGGCCCCAGGGACCGGCCCGGCCTTGCTGAGGTCGGTGCACACATGTCGGGTGGGTCGCCGGCGCCCCCCGAGATCCTCCTGCAGTCCCAGCAGGAGGCGCTGCATCTCCCCGTGGACGTAGGGGCCCACGGTCCAGACCAGCCACTGCAGCATGGAGCCTGGCACGCCTGTTTGGGGATCTGGCTCCTCCCCCGTGCCCCGCCTCCTCCCCATCCTCCCCTCAGGAGGATGCGTGGATTGGCAGGGTATGGGGAGCAGGGAGAATGCTGAGGATGCGGGAGAGAGGAGGATGGGGAGACAGAGGGGGGAAGGAACGAAAACACGACCGGAAAATGAGGAAGGAGAAAGGAGGAGGAGGAGGAGGAGGAAGAGGAGAAAGAGGAGAAGGAGGAGGACGAGGATGAGAAGGAAGAAGGAGAAGGACGACGAGAGAGGATGAGGAGGAGGAGGACGAGGAGGAAGAGGAGGACCCATGTAACCCCACGACTCATAAACGATGCTGGAAGGCACCCTCCCTCCAAGCTCCCTCTCCATAGGCCCCATACAGGAATTCACTTCCACTGCGGGAAGCTCCCCGTTGGGGAACAACGGTGTGAAAATCCTGAGGCGTGCCCAAACACCATCAAGAGGACTTCAACGCCACGAGTCAATCTGAATGCTGCGTCTTGACGATCCTGAATCGCGCCAGAACGCCATTCCTAGGACTTCAACATCGCAAGTCAACGTAACAGTTGCGCCTTGATAATCCAGAATCGCCCCAAATATTTATTGCTGAATACGTTAGCATTAAGAACCAATGCAACTGCTGCACTTGCTTAAAGCGAATATGCGGGGCGCTAAGGCGAGAACCACAGTTTGAAAAGAAGCAGCACTCAATCAATGAAATTCTTGCACATGTTTAGAACGAATGTGCGCGGCGCTAACGCGGGAACCAACTTTTGAAACAGAACCGCCCTCAATCCGTAAAGCTCTGACATAATTTTGAAACGAATGTGCGCCGGCGCTACAGCGAGAACCACAGTTTGAAAACGAACAGCCCTCACTTTGTGAAACGATTTCAACTGTTTGAAAACCAATGTGCGCAGTGTGAAGGCAACAGCCACATTTTGAGAACGACCCGTCCTGGATTTGCGAAACTCTTACAACTGTTAGGAAATAATGTGCGCGGCTCGAAGGCTATGGCCAGATTGTCGAAGCGGCCCGCCCTTCATCTGTGAAACTGTTGCCAGTGATTAAGCTTGAGGCTCATAAATGGCAAGAAAGTCTCATGCGAAACGCCTGGCCCGCCCTTCCTACTGGCCTCGGGGTGCGACAGGGAGGGGTTAACTCATAAGGAAATAGAATGGAGGAGGATGAGGAGAGGAGGAGGAAAATTATGGTGGCCTGCGCCAGGATGATTAACGCGATCATGGGCAGGATGATGAGCAGGGGAAAGAGGATGAGTAAAGGAAATGCAAAAAATGAGCAGCATGAAGAGGGATGATTAGAAGGACGAGGGCACGCATCATTGGGGAGGAGGGGAGAGGGGGAAGGAGCATTATAAGGACAAACGGGAGATGCAAGACGGTAGACCATAATGGACGCAAGAAAAAGCAAGGACGGAGGATATACGGAATGGGTCGGTGTATGATTTTAGCCCCTCCCAACCGAGCATCTGCAAGTCGACTCTGACGTGCACGTGGGCCACGACTCGCTCCCCCGGCATAGGCGTGAGCTTCACGCACGTCCCGGGAAGAATGCGCCCCCGGTAGCAGTCGGCATCGGACTCGGGAATGCCTGGCGTCGACGGGTCCGCGTCCTTGACCAGGATTAAGAAGCAGCCATCGTCATCAATGAGGTCGTGCCCCTCTGCATCGAACAAAAAGCTTCGTGGGTACAACGGTGGGGGCATCCACAGTTCCGCGTATCCTCTGAGGGATAAGAGCGATGGCTCGTGAAGTATGACGGAGCGCTGCACGAAATCATTCCATCCCTGCAGTAAGTCGAATTCTCGCGGCAGCGATAACAGAGAAGCAACGGGGGCGTCGTACTTGGCCTCAACGGCCACCTCAACCGCACCGTCTGCGTCATCGCGCGTGAAAAATGCAACGGTCTCCTCCTCGCATGCGCAAGACCAACTCGGATCAGTCCTCAGGCTGGCCAGCGCGCGGAGCGCGGAGGCAACGTCGCACGGCGGTGGCGCCGCCCGCAGCTCCTCGGGGGCGCTGGCCTGCGACCGGGGCGGCCCAGTGGCGGCCCACGACGGCGACGTCGACGAGGATGCCAGCCGTCGTCGTCATCGTCGTGTTCGTCGTCGTCGTCTCGGAGGTTTTCGGGAGCGTTTCTGGATGACCTCTTCTCCGAAGCCTGGCGTGGCCCGAGGATCGGGAGCGGCCAAGAGGGGGTGTCCAAGAGGGGGGGGTGCAAATCATGGCCGGCGGCATGTGCGCGGCCCAGTGGGGGGCCAGGGACGTAATGAAATAAGGAGCGGCGCCACGAAATCTGGGGAAATATCACGGCCCCCGCCATGATATCCATCCCCCCCTAGTCATCACACCCCTCTTTTCTGCCCCCGAGAGGAGCTGGGCGGGGTAGGCACCGGGAGGCGGTCTGGGGGCCGACGTTGAGCGGCATTTGGTCGGTTTACGCCGACGCCGACGACGACGAGGCCGCGTCCCCCTCCCTTCTCATGCTCCTGGCCACGTCCTCCCTCACCTCCTCTTTCCTCCTCCCTCGTGCTACCTTCTCCTCCTCGTCCTCCCTCTCCTCCTTCGTCTCCTCCTTCGTCTCCTCCTCCCTCTCCTCCGCGAGCGGCTGCGAACTTTCGGCCTGACCCTGACGCGCTGAGGAAATCTGGGTAAATACTCACGAGCTCCCCTGGGGCCATGCCTTGAGGACTGGTGGGGGATTCTCCTGCGTGAGTTCGTGAATCGTCATCCCTCTCCTCCTCCGTCTCCATCTCCCTTTCGTCCTCCCTCCTCCTCCTCCTCCTCCTCCTCCTCCTCCAGATGCTGGCGCTGTAGGTATGGGGATCCGCAATCCTCCTCCACCTCCTCCTCCTCCTCCTCCTCCTCCTCCTCCTCCAGCCTCCTCCTCCTCCAGCCTCCTCCTCCAGCCTCCAGCCTCCTCCTCCTCTTCTCTCCCCCGCGATCGCTCCTGCGCTCGCGGCGACGACGGCCACCCGGAGGTGCCGAACACTGCCGACCCTCCGCGGGGCCTCCGGGAGCTCCCCGGGGGGGGGCCCTCGGAGAGACCCCCTCGGCCCGGACCTCGGAGGGAGAAAAAGCGGCCTGCCGAGGAGGCGCAGGCGCAGGCCGCGGCACTGTTGGCGACGCCGCCGGTGGCGAGGCCGCCGCTGGCATCCACGACGACGACGACGACGACGACGACGACGACGACGACGACGACGACGACGACGACGACGGTACTCCTCAACGTCTTCCGTTTCCCTCCTTCTCGGCCTGGTGCCTCCTGGTACCTCCTCAGCCTGCCCGCTTCGCCTCCCTCCCGCTCCCTCCTCCCACCATCTCAGACTCCTTCTCCTCAGTATCCTCCCCTCCCCTCCTCTTCCGCTCCTCCATCCTAGTCCCCCTCGTGGAGGAGGAGAATGAGATGAAGGAGAAGCAGTAACAAGTGATGGAAGCGGGAGGATGGGTGACGGGATGAGGAGGAGGAGGGGGAGGAGGAGGGGGAGGAGGAGGAGGAGGAGAAACACCCTTCCGTCCCAAGTTCCTCCTCAGAAGTCCCTGCTGAAGTCTTCCATCATACTACAAGACGCGTCCCCTTGAAACAAGAAGCCCCTATGAGTCTGCCATTCAAGACAACGGGCGTCCCCGGAGGCCCCCCTGGAGGCCCTGACAGGTCCCAAACTTTACACACACAGACACGCACGCGCAGATTCTTTGCTTATGCAATCAACACTAACGATACAACTAATACTGCGCACGCTTCACACATCTCGCCCCGCACCTCCCACGACGACGCCGACGCAGCCGACACGGAGGAAGAGGAGGAAGATGGATGGACGAGGGACGTGGGACAAGGGACGAGGAGAAAAAGGAGGAGGGGGGGAAGGAGGAAAAGGAGGAACGAGGGAGGAGAGGTCAGGAGGGAAAGTGGGAGAGGGAGCCAGAGGAGGAGGAGAAGAGGGAGCACGAGGGTGACGAGGAAGGAGGAGCAGGCAAGAGGAGGAGGAGGTCGACGACGACCAAAGACGCCGCCGACAGCGCCGCCGACGGCTGCGGTGACGGCGACGGCGCCGATGACGGCCGCGGCGCCAGAGGCGCGGAAAAAAAGGGGCCTCGGGCCGCCCGTGCGCAGCCGCCGCCTCGTCGGCGCCGCCCCCGCCCCAGAGCCACTCCTGTGGGCGTGGGCGCCGTCGCCGACGACGGCGCCGTCGCCGTCGGAGGATCACGACTGTGGTCACGACGACGACGACGCCGTCGCTGAAGACGACGCCGTCGCTGACGACGAGCCAGAACATAACTGAAACATGTTGAACCTCATAAGGATGATGAGGGATGATGAGGGACGATGAAGGAAACGGATGGGGAGGGGATTGAAGCAGGACCGACAAAGCAAGAGGAGGATGATGATGATGTTGATTATGAAGGTGATGATGATGATGATGATGATGATGATGATGCTGATGATGATGATGATGATGATGATGCTGATGCTGATGATGATGCGGAAGGGGGGGAGGAGGAGAAGGAAGAAGAGCCGACGCAAGAGGGAGGAGGACGATGAGGACGAGAGAAGGACACATAATGATGATGAGGAGCAGGCGCAGGAGCGGGAGCAGGAGGAGGCGGATGCGTGAGAACAGAAGAAGAGAGGAGGGAGAGGAGGAGACAGCAGGCGAGCGAAGGAGCAGTAAGAGAGGAAGGGGTGGAGGAGGAACGCCAAAAGCAGGCTTATTATTTGAGGAGCACCAGTGCCAATGTGCCGAGGGAGGAGGAGGAGGACGAGGAGGAGGAGGAGGACGAGGAGGAGGAGGAGGTGGGAGCGAAGGAGGAGGAGGACGAGGAGGAGGAGGAGGACGAGGAGGAGGACGAGGAGGAGATGGCAGGAGGAGGGCCCATCCCAAAAGCCACTCCTGCAGGCTGGCGGGCGGCGCACTTCGTCTCCTCGCCTCCTCCCTTCCTCTCCCCTTTCCCCTCTTTCCTCCCTTCTGCATCTAAGCGCCTCTTTCCCCTTACCCCCATCCCCCACCTGTCTTCTGGTTGGTGCTACCAGCTGCGGCACCTTCGTGAGCCCTTGGAAGTCGGACGGAACGGCGTCCGCAAAGCATCCACAATGGACCTCGCCTCCATGTGGAGCTGCTCTCTGCGCAACTGTCGGCACTTTTGTGCGATCCTGTCAGGTCCATCGCAGCGCCGTGCAGGCAATCAGAGTGGGCCCCGCTCTCCCTTGGCGCTGCCAACTGCGCCACTGTCGCCGCTTTTGTGGGCTCTTAGGGGGTCCAGCGGGGAACTGCCCCACAGGGGATTCAAACTAGGCCTTGCCCCCCTGGGCGCCGCCAGCTGCGGGACTGTCGCCTCTGTCGTGGGCCCCTGGGGGGGTCCATCGGAGTGCGGCCCCACAAAGATCTAAACGAGACCTCGCCGTCGCCCTCCTGTGGTGCTGCCAGCTGCGCAACCGTCAGTATCTTCGCGAGCTGCGGCGAGGTCCAGCGGAGTGATGCCCTACGGGGATCTCAACGAGACATCGCCCTCCCTGGGTGTTGCCAACGGCGCAATAGTCGCCTCCCTCGAGCCATCGGGTCTTCGATCCCTCGGCCCGCCGTCGACCCCCTCTGCTCCTCGACTTCTCGGCCGCTCGATCTCTCAAGCTATCGATCCCTCGAATTCTCGCTCCCGCTATCCCTTGATTTAAGCCGGCCCTGTCCCCCTACAGGCCGATTTTGAACGAACAATAAAAGATACCCGAAACATACCCTACAAATGCTCAAACATGGTCAAAAAATAGTCCCCAGACTATGTTTTGACTGTTTTCGGATATTCCCCCTGTAGAGGGACAATCCCGACTTGACCCTTGACCCTTCGACCCCTCGACGCCTCCAGCCCTCTCTCCAAACGAGCCTCGGACGCACGGCCGTGCCCTGCGGGCAGGGGCTGCTCGCAGCAGGTCCTCGGCGCCCCCGTCCTGCGCTCCCTGGTTCGGCCTGGGCACGTGGAGCGCTTGCCGCCTGCTGCAGACGGGCCTGGGGCGCTTTCCCGGGCGATCTCCGATGTTGGCTCGGCCCATCCTGACTACCTACCAGACCACCCCAACCCAATCCGAAGACCCGAATTTCGGGTTGGGGGGGGTACGGGTTCCATATGTGTTTTCTCGACGTTCCCCGACCCCCCCTCAACTGGAAATGGAGGGCAAATCGAGACCCTCGGGTTGGGTTGGGGTGGTTTGGTGGGGGGGGACTTCCTGGGCCTCTGAAGGCCACCACGAACAGGTGGACGATCTGGTCGGGTGTTGCTAGAAGTGCCCCTGGGCCAAGGTGCCCCCCAGGATTTTCGGGGTAGCCCAAACGGCCCCCAAAGCACCCCTCACGAGGTCCAGAGGGCCCCAGGGGCTCCTAAATGGAGTGAAAAGCTGGGGGCACCTTGGGCCAGGGGTACTTCTAGCAACACCCGATATGGGGCGAAGGGAGAACTCGGGGAGAGGAGCAGGAAGGACGTACGATGACGATGACGGCGGAAGACGACGACGGAACAAGCAGAAAGAGATGAAGGAGGAGGGCGTAGGAGAATGAGTGAGGAGCAGGAGGGGGTAGATGGGGAGGGGTTCTGTGAGTTTCTTCGCTCCTCATCCCTTTGGAGGGGGGGAGGGGGATGGGGCCACAGGGTCCAGTGGTTCTACAGAGGAGCGGGGCAAGGGGTGACGGGATGGGGCAAGCCATGTGCTCTCGAATTATATCTGACACCCTAGCCCTCCCGCCCATCACTTCCCAATGCGCTCGGTGTCCCTCTATGCGCCGGCCAGTGTCATAGCGGACCTGGAAAGCCCCAAACGATCCTATCGTTCTATGCGCAATCTGAAAAAGAAAGCTGTGTACATTGGAGGATGAGTGTGGGCCGGCGCGATGCCATGCTTAGGTCGGGCGTGCCCTCCTACAGGGGGATTTTGAACGAAGAAAAAATACCCCCAAAATACCTAAAAGTACCTAACCATGATCAAACAATGGCCCTCTGACCACTTTTACTACGTTTGAATATTCTTCCTGTAGAGGGACAGGGCCGACTGAATGCCAGGTGCCGCTGCTGCTGGGCGCACTGCCACTCGCCGGCCACGACGAGGGAGCACGTAGATCCAGAGATGTGGCCCGCGCTGGGGCGAGAGCACCCTTCGCCTCGAGTTTCCGAGCACGCTGCGATGGGAGACGACCGCACGAGAAGCCAGCTGTTGGAATCCAGGGCGGGGCACTTGCAGGACCTGGTCAGGGGAGAGAGGAAAGCAGCACTCGCAGTGTGCCATCCATGAGGGCGGGGGGGAGGGGTTGTGGGAATGGGAGCGGGGAATGGGGAGGAGGAGGAGGAGGAGGAGGAGGAGGAGGAGGAGCAGCAGGAAAAGACAGAGAACGAGGGGAAGGAAGGGAAGGAAGAGGAGGACGAAGGGGAATGTGGCGAGGAGGAGGGAGGAGGATGGATGGTGAAAATTGCAAAAGACCTTGGCCATGATGTTGTCCAGGACGCTGTAAGTCTCGAGGGGGGAAGATGGATAAGGAGGAGGGCAGAGTGAGGTACGTAGGAGATGAGGAAGAGCGCGAAGAGGAGGAGGAGGAGGAGGAGGAGGACAAGAGGAGGGGAGGGGGGGGGAAGGGGGCACGAAGAGGAGATAGAGGAGGAGCGCGAAGAGGATGAAGAGAACGAACACGACGAGGATGCTGAGATTCGTTCTGCCCAGCGCGGCTCCATGTGCCAGCGCGGCCCCCGGCGTGCCCCCGGCGCGCGGTGCGCGCGCGCGGCGCGCGAGGGCCGCGGCGCCAGAGAAGCTTTCGGGCGGGCGCGCCACTGCCGCCGCCGCTGCGCCGCCGCTGCGCCCGCTGCTTCACATCCTCCTCCTCCTCCTCCTCCTTCTCCTCCTCCTCCTCCTCCTCCTCCTCCTCCTGCTTCCCGTATTCACCTCCACCTGCTCCTCTTCCTCCTCCTCCTCCGCCTCGTCCTCCTCTTCCTCCTCCTCCTCCTCCTCCTCCTCCTCCTCCTCGTCCTCCTCTTTCCTCCTCATTTTGCTGATCTCTCTGCCGCCCCCCCCCCTCTTCTCTTCTCCTCCCCCTCCTCCTGCTCCCGCTCCCCCTCCACCTCCCTCCCCCTCCTCCTCCTCCTCCTCCTCCTCCTCCTCCTCCTCCTCCTCCTCCCCCTCCTCCCCTTCTACCTCGAGGCGTCGGAGAGGGGGGGGGAGGGGGCGGGCCTGCCGCAGCGGGTCGCCGAGCGCCCCGCACGCGAGGCTCAGGTTGACCAGGCAGGTGGTCACCTCCGCGGGGGCGGCGGGTGGCCCGTGGGGTCGTCCTCCTCGCCTTCGTAGCTGTCCTCCTCGTCGTCCTCCTCCTCCTCCTCCTCCTCCTCCTCCTCGTCCTTCTCCTCCCCCTTCTCCTCCTGTGCTCCTCGTCGCCTCCTCCTCCTGCTCCTCCTCCACATCCTGCAGTGCCTTCTCCTGCTTCCCCTCCTCGTCGTCGCCCTCCTCCCTCTCGTCTCTCGTCGTCCGTCTTCTCATCGTCGTCCTCATTCTCGTCGTGCATCGTATGCTCCTCGTCGTCCTCCTTCTGCCTCACCCGTCTGACCACCATACGTGTCGGTAGGGCGGGCCGGGCGTTTTCCCTCAGAAATATCCAACAGTTACACGTGTGGAGAGGGGGGCAACATGTGGCGCTGGCCCCAGGGCCGCGCTCGTTCGTTCTGAAAGCTTCTAGCAGTTGCACGGTTGGAAGGGCGGTGGTTGTCCTGATTGACGCCACGCACACTCGTCGAAAGCGCATCCAGCGGTTACAGGGATGGATGGGGAGTGTTTCTGGCTCTCGCCTCAGGGCCGCACACATTCATCTGAACGAGCTTCCAGCAGTTACACGGATGGAGGGCGGTTCATTTTCAAATCAATTGTTTTTGTTTTGCGATGCATTCGAACCCCATGATTGTGAGCCAACAACTGTGTATCAACTACACAGGTCGAGGGCGGCGCCTTTCACATCTCGGTTCTCGCGTGCGACTCCCCTACGCTTCAAGGCCAGACGCTTCAGATTGCAGAGTTGCCTGGATAAAGGGCGGATCCTGTTCAAACCGAGGCTCTCACTGAGACTTCCTTGGACTTTAGGATCCTACCTTTTCGCCGCCCTTCTAGCTAGAAACATGGATGACCGCCGGAATGGCAGGAGAGGCGCTTGTCTTTCAATGGGACACTTCGCGTAGTGAAGGGAATCAAAAGAAAGAGAGAGCGAGAGATGGATAGAGAGAGAGAGAGAGAGAAAGCGAGAGAGAGAGAGAGGGAAGAGAGAGCCAGAGATAAATAGAGGTATAACCTGGGGCACTTACTTCTTTCAATGTGTGCAGGCTGAGAGAGGAGAGAGAGAGAGAGAGAGAGAAGAAAAAAAAAGAGAGAGAGCGAGAGACGCACACCACCAAGCACGCACGCAAGCAAAAACAGCCAGCTGAGCCAAGGGCAATGGGCCAGAAAGGGGCACAGACACATGTACCAACATATAGAGTGGCAGAGAGATGACGAAGCTGCGCCAGGATAGTGCCAATGGTGGCGCCGCGTCACCTTGTGGCTGCTTGGACCTGCAGGAGTGGCAAGGAGAGAACCTGATAGCGAGGGAAGAAGAGGGCAGGAAGATGACGACGGTTCCCCACAACCGCAACCACCATGAATGGCCAATGACACGCATCGCAAGTCGGTCCTACAGGTGCTACCGCCATCAGAAATTATTGAACGACAGTAGTTACTAAATGCGCAATTGCATTCCACGGTCAGCGAATTGAGCGGCTGTGCGGTCTATCCTTACGCGCAACAACCACCAGTGGTACTCAATCCACAGGCATGTATTGACACCAACAACCTACCAACACGCAACTACGCAAAACGTTTACTGTTCATGGAGACTTGCTGTCAACGATCGAATGTGCAAAACGCGGTGTCTGCGACATGCAGCAGTGCCGTAAGGAAAGGGAAAATGGTGATGGGGCTGGTCACGAGGGAACTATATCGCATGGCTATCGTGTCCTGCCTCCCGAGAGCACCACATCACCACGCTCACGTGTCCAACATTGACGTAATGTAGTGCTTCAATATTTGAGCCCTGCGATGCACGTTGGAACACAGGATGGCTTAGCCGATAATGCAAGGCATATGGGTTATGATGCATTGGCTGCATTCCCTTCGGCCAGCCCGCTATAAGATCAAGCATTGAATCGTTGTCTTTGCTTGGTGCCACTTCGAATGTGTGCCGCTTGCAAAAAGCCTCAAGAAATGATGGCTCTGCACAGAACCGTGTAGCACGCAATGCCTCGCACCAGCTTTCGCTTTGCCTGGTTTGCACATTCGAACCCAAAGAACCAATCTTTGAAAAGGACTCGAATCCGAAGTTGTGCCGTAGCTGTGCTGACTTCTTGCTTCAAATCGTGGAGACGAGCCAGGTCGAACACGAACAGGACGAGGATGAGGAGGAAAAGGAGGAGGGACGAGGAGGCATGGGCAACCCCGGGCTTGGGCACGCCATGCAGCTCATGCAAGTGAGAACCGACTTGTTCCCGGCACCCGGGCAACATGGGACGACCTGCAAACTGCCTTTCCTCGAGATCGGCCCGGAAACCGCGCACGGTTTCCACTTTGGACGCCCGAAATGGGTACGGAAAAAATGGGTACAATGCCCAACAACAAATGTTGTCCCAAACCAACAGCGGCCGCTATTGGGCAGGCGGCCTTCTGTCTCAACTGTGCACAGGCCGCGGTGACACCGACAGCGAGCCCTGCTCAAAACGAACAGTAACTGCTGCTGGGCATTGTACCCATTCTTTCCGTACGCATGTCGTTCGTGCCGATCCACGGCCACTGGGGCCCTGCGGGCATACCCCCACCTCCCCTCGACCTCCCGACCACTTCCCCGGGCCTGTTTTTCATCCCGAGTCGTTCTTTCACGGTCCCGAGGCCCGGGGAAGGCCCCGAGAGGCCGAACACGCCGAAAAACCCTCGTCCCGCTTTTTTCGCGACGCCCGATGCCTGGCATGCCCCGGGAGGCGGTTTGCCCACGCCTCGGAGCCTCCCGCCGAGGCTCGCCCTCGTTAGCAGGGACCAACCGTCCCAGCATTCCTATAGCCCTACCAAGAAATGTTCTTAGAACCCACAAACGTTCTAAGAACAACAACAATTTTCTTAGAACATACATTAACCCGATGTCTTAAACCAAGATAGCCCCAGCCAGAAATGTTCTAAGAACATATCGTGGGAACCACAAAAGGTTCTTAGAACATTGTTTGGTAGGGCTATAGGCGAGCCAGGACGCTTCGCCACTGCTCGACCTCGACGGCAGGCCGAGCGACGCAAGCCACTCGGTCGGGGGGGGCCCGCGCCGGCCTGCCGGTGCCGAGACGCGCGCGCGCGCGCCCGGGAGGGCGCGCCCGGCGCCTCTCGGGGCGCTTGCTCTCGCGGGCCGCGCGCTCGTGCGAGGGGCGAGCTGAGCACCAGGCTGAAGGGTAGGTCGGGCCTGTCCCCCTACAGGGGGATTTCGCACAATTAATATTATTATCATTATTCTTATCATTAGTACTATCATTATCATTATTATTACTATGTATATCTAGAACAATCTAAAACTCAACACATGCCCAACAATGGTCAAAAAATGGTGCCCATACTACTTTTTTGACAATTTTTGAACATTTCCCCTGTAGAGGGACAGGCCCAGCCTAAGCTTGAGGACCACATCCCAGAAATGATTTCGAGCACCTGGAACGGTGTCGAAAGGGTGTCGAGGCAGTGTCGAGCGAGTGTCTCCCAGGGCCCGGCACGCGAAAACCCTTGAGTTGGTGGGTACTTCTTCTGGTGCTCGAAATTCATTCTGGCGATCAAGGCTAAAGTAGGTTGGAGCATCATAGTACCAGGCCAGGCCAATTCGTGCTCTGGATCTCGCCTCGCCGTGCACCAATGCGCTCAAGAACTCATCGTGCCGGCCTCCAGGGTCGTCGTCGTCGTCGTCGTCGTCGGTGTCGGTGCGGCTGTCGTGCGTTCGTCGGCGTCTGTCGTCTGGCGCGGTCCGACGTCGTCGCCCCCCCCCCCCGAGACCGAACTCGGTCTCCATCATGTGCAGGGCCCTCTCCAGCATGTCCTGGGCCGCGCGGGTTGCTGACCGAGCAGCCCAGGCGCGCTCCTCTGCTCACCACTGCTCACTCGCAGCCGTCCCTCCTCCTCGCCGACCCCCTCTTCCTTCCCTCGCCAACTTCGCGCCCTCTCTCTCTCTCTCACCTCCTCCTGATCAACCATTCCTTCCCCCTTTCATCCGGAGACATGGACTCCGCCCCCGCTCTGCCATCCGACGTGTGTCCAAATTGCTGGGAAGGCGCTGCCTCTCTGGCCGCGACTATCGCGGCCAGCACTGCCTGAAACTGCCGCCAGGGCCACACAGCTCGAGGCAAGCTGACGACGATGTCTCAACGAATTAGCCCTCCTCGAGGGCCGCGGGGGCGTCTCAAGCAGCCCTCCCTGTGATGGCCGAGCGCAGGCCTCCGATGTATCGCGTGGCCCCCTGGCACCCTCGACCCCTCCCTCCGCGCGGTCAAGTGGTTTGACGCGGCTCGCTTCCCCGACGGCCGTAGAACCCCGAACGGTCCCCGGAGGGTGCTGGAAATTGTAAACAGCCTCCGTCTCACTGTTTCGAGATGCTCAAATTCTGGGCGTAAGTCGGGCGTGTCCTCCTACAGGTGGATTTTGGACGACAAATGAAAAATACCCCGCACATGCCTAAACATAGCAAGACAATACATAGAACATCGTCCCCATACTAATTTTTGACTATTTCTGAATATCCCTCCTGTAGAGGGGCAGGCCCGACTTAATTCGGGGCTCGGAGATCAACACTCGGCCCCCTGGACCTGTCCAAGTGCGCTCGTTCTGCCCAGAGGCGTGGCCACGAGCGCGCCCTGGGAGGCCCAAGGAGGCCCAAGGAGGTCCAAGAGCGCCGAAGCATCTCGAGCCTCGATCCTCGAACCTTTTCGAAGCCCAAACGTTTTCTGGGCGCTGGGGGTCTTAGGGTGCATGAGGACGGCGGAGAAGAGCCCGCGGTGCAATCAGCAACGTTCCCTCGCCGCGAGGGCACACCAGGAGCTCCGAGAAGGCCAAAGAGCGCCCGACCATCCAAGGACCTACCCTGGAACCTCCTCGATGGGCGACGGACGGGGAGAAAGGGCCCAAAATGGAGGTCCATGGCGTCCCCGCGCTCGCGTTCGCTCGACGACGACCACGACGACACGGCGACGGCGGCGGCGGCAATGTCGTCGTCGTCGTCGCTGTCGATGAGATCCGCGAAGCCCCAGCGTGCGCGTGATGGGGGAGCGTAAGGGGGGGAGCATCGACCTGGAATCGGCGATACATCGCTGATAGATCGGCGATCGGCCCTCGATAGCCAAGTCTCACGTCACCGGGCGGAGTGTGGGCCCGAATCGACGATCCATGGGCGATCAAGGTTCGATACATCCCCCCCAGAGCCTATGCCCTCTGAAACTGCCCATGGGCGCGCGACTGCGGCGGCACCCTAACCTGCTCTCCCCGCCGGCACTCGGGAACCGTCCCTCTGCGTCTCGTGCTCGCCCAGTCTGCCGTGCACGCTGCCGAGGTTCACCGAGGAGGAGGGGGAGCAGAAACAAGGAGGAACGAAGCGAAATGAGGAGATAAGGAAAAAGATGAGGAGGAGGAGGAGGAGGAGGAGGAGGAGGAGGAGGAGAAGGAAACGCTCCCCAAAGCGGCTCCGCGTACTCAATCTGAGCTCACGGCCACCAATTCCAGGATCAGTTTACTAGGCAAATCGTTCCAAACCGTGGGGTCTCCGAATCCTTCGGCTGAAAGACGGGCTGCCCATCTAGCCTGCTCCCAGCGTATGGTCCTGGCAGACAAAAAGAGAGGAGCAAGGATTGATGATGAGGAGGATCAGGACAGGGGAGAGGATGACCGAGGAGGACAAGGACCGAAACGATTGGCCCCTTTGAGATCTGATCTTCTGAGGCTTCCAAAGTCCCCTGGATGCTCCACCAGAAATTTCAGGAGACCTCGACAGAAGAGGCCTCCCGGGGGGAAGGAGGGAGTGAGGACATAAAAGGAGAAACGCACCCCAGGATACGCAGGTCTGGTTGCCGATCTCTGCGGAGGAGGAATGAAGAAGGAGGATGAAGAGCAGGAGGAGGAGGAGGAAGAGGAGGAGGAGGAGCAGGAGGCGGAGGAGGAGGGGGAGGAGGAACATGAAGCAGGAGGGGAGGGCTGCCCGACGAGCCCATAAGAAGTTCTAGAAGGCCCTGCGTGGGTTTACGGTTGCGTTCATCGCTCGAGTTTTCTTGGGGCTTCGCAGCACCCCCGCGGCGTCGCGGAGGCTCCGCGGAAACGGCCGCCCGCCCCGCCGCGGGCGCCTTTTCCTCAGGCCCTTTACCGCGAGCTGCTCGGCCAGCTCGTCGCGCCACGGCGCGCAAGCACAGGGCCACTGGGGCTGCAACGGGGGCCCAACGCGAATCATCTGGAACGAGCGGTCGCCGAGTTACGTAAAGGAGGCGCGGCGTCGGCTAGTGGACATTTCCTTTCAGCCACGAACGCCCGCCAACGCTCGGCGGCCCCGTCGATGGGCGCACGGGCGCGCAGACGCCCGCGCGAGCAGGTCGCCCCTGCCCGACGCGCGCACGGACTCCAGACCCCGCGCGCTGCGCACGGGGGGCACGCGAAGATAGGCGAGGGGTCTCGTTTTCTCTCTTCTCCCTCCTTGTCCCTCCTCCTCCTCCTCCTCCTCCTCCTCCAACTCCTCCTCCAACTCCTCCTCCTCCTCCTCCTCCTCCACCTCCTCCTCCTCCTCCTCCTCCTCCAATTCCTCCTCCAACTCCTCCTCCTCCTCTTCCTCCTCCTCCTCCTCCTCCTCCTCTTCCTGCTTTTCCCCCTCCTACTCTTCTTCGTCCTCCTCCTCCTCCTCTTCCTCTTCCTCCTCCTTTTCCTCCTCCTCCTCCTCCTCCTCCTCCCCTCCCTCGTCGCAAAATGGCGCCTCGCCCTCTCCTAGGGTGCATCTTGGCCAGAATGTTCAATCGAATCCAGCCGCGCCGACGAGGGCACCCCCAAATGGTCGAAACGTTTGGCCGACATCCCCCTGACCGCGTTCCTCGACGACGGCGGCCACAACCACGACCCCAACCGCGACGACGATGACGACGTCTGGCGACGACGACGGGCGACCGACGACGACCAGCGGGCGACGACCGATGGGGGCTGACGACGACCGACAAGCGAGGAGCGACGAGCCCGGCGGTGGAACAGGTAGGCGGCCCGCGGTGGCGGCCGCCGCCGCCGCTCGCCAGCGTGACGGCAACGGGGTAGCCGCTGGGGCCGTGCTCGGCCTCGGGCGGCTGCCGGGGCCGCGTCCCCACCCGGGGATGCCCTCGAAGGGGATCGAAGCTAGGGTGTGTCCTCGAGGATGAGGAGGAATTGGAGGAGGATGTCCTCGAGGAGCAGGACGGGCAGGAGGAGAAGGATGAGGACGACGCCTTTGAGGTTCCCGACGCGGATGTCCGCGATGATCATGATGAGCATGAGGATGAAGATGATGATGGTGATGATGATGATGATGAGGAGGAGGAGGAGGAGGAGGAGGAGGAGGAGGACGAGGAGAAAGACGAGGAAGAGGAGGAGGAGGAAGAGGAGGAGGACTGTTCCCATGCAGCACACGCAGCGTGTTCCATCATTCATAGTCCTTGTCAGGGCGTGCCGCCAAAAGGGCACGCGCCCAAATGCAGAGGAAGGGGGAGGAAGCAGCAGCCGCGGGCGGAGGGACGAACAAAACACTGACTGACGGACGTCAACACCTGCACAAACTTCACCCTCCGCACGAAGACGCCGGAATACCTCGCGCGCGGGGGCGTCGGCGCGGGGCCGCCCGCCCACGGAGGTGGCGAGAGGCCTCGACGCAGGGGGAGGACAGAGTCCATGCCCCGCAAGCAGTGGCGCTAACGCTCGCCACCCCCGCCTGTGTCTGGGGCGGGAGACCCGCGGAGGGACGACGCTGCAAATCCTGATCCTGTCCCCTGGGGAGAGGCACGCAGGGCGCATCGTCGAGGAGGGGGGGGGAGGCGGTCCTCGCGGAGGTTCGATGTTCGAGGGTTGCGTCTCAATTGTACATGTGTGCTTGTAGGGGGCCCTGGGGTGCTTGTCGTGGCCGCGGCTGGATCCGCTTGGAAGTTCTAATCGAAACGCACCTGGGGGGGCCTCGGGGTCAATCTTCGATGCAAGCTGCTGGCGTGTAGGCTGCAAATGGATTGATCCTGCATCGGTGCATCGGCCGTCCGATGGTGAACCAGTGGCGCTGGCTATGGGGCGTAAAACTCGGGATGCGCACAACGACGTCGGTCTCCAGAGACCCAGGTCTCACGAGGCCTCGGGAGACGGACCGCGGCGCCACCAGCGGAAGGCAAGCCTCGGCCTGTCCAATTCAAGGACGCACGGCCCTGCGCGCCAGCGCGCGAAGCCGAGCAGGGCCGCCCTGCCTCGGCCGCCTCGAGCACTGGCCCCCGCATCGCCGAGCGCAACAGGTAGAAGCACACATTTGCGGCGTGGAAGCGGCGCGGCGGGCGACAAACGATGGAGGCGCCGAACAACTTAACGGGTTCAGTCGGGGCCCGGGCTTGCGCCGTCGCGGGCGGGCTCGGGGCCGCGGGCCGCGCTGGGCAGCCGCGTGGAAACGCACGCGCGTCGCAGCGCCGCGCGGTCAACTTCGCGCTGGAACCCGGCAACAACCTCTGCGCCACTCTCGGCGAAACATCCACGCCCGAACCGCCTCACAAACATCCGCCATTTCGCCCTCGCGCCGGGGCGCTCAGAGGCGCCGCGGCATCTGTCCGCGAGGTTGCGCGTCGAACCAAGAGAGCCACCATCACCGCGTAGGCGACATCAGCACGCGCAAATTTAACTGAATCCATCATGGCCCAGCTCGCGAAAGCTAAACCAGTCATCGACAGCCTCGGGCACGAGCGGCGGCCCTGGCGGGCCCTGGGCGGCGTCGAGGTCAGCCTGGCGCTGGGCCTCAGAGGTCTCCAACTCGCCGCCTCATCCCGAAAACAAGTGTCGTGCACCTGCTGCTGGATCGGA